TAAAGAAAATCCAATGAATTTTCCATTTCGTCTTCGCGTTTATCGTGCTGCTCTTAGTTCACCTTCTCTCCCTTTTGTGTGCCATTCACTTTCAACTATCCATCCAAGCATCCGTCCATTTATCCATGGCACAGCCATCCACCCATCAATCCATCCTCATCAACAACAAAGAATTACTATTTTTAGTCTGTGCCTAACGTAGACGGTGTCTTACAGCAATTGTTTGTTTGACGGACTGGCTGGCTGGCTGGCTGGCTGGCTGAATGACTGACTGTTGTGTGTGGCTTGGCCAACGACAATGGAAAATATCAACAACAACAATAAGAGAGGCAGTAGCAATGCGTTGCTGTTTCCGCAGTTGTAGACAATGATACCTACCTACAACAACAACAATGAAGGGGGAGATTGTCCACAATTGTCACAATGGAATGTTTGTTTATTGGTAGGTGATAGTCGAGTGACTGGAAATGAAGTGTTACAAAAATTGGGCCACATTGAAGATGACGCCCCCTTCCAACCAACCATTCATCCATCCATTCTCTGCTCTGCTGTGCTGTTAATGTTCGTGATTGTGCCTGTGCGCGTTTTGGGGGTATTATCTATTTTATTATTTCATCTTCGGGGAGATTTTAAGTGTAATGATCATTGATCCTGCTGCCTTGATTGTTGGATGCTGCTCTTGATTTTGTTTTTGTTGGATAATAAAATGTCATTTGTTTAACATTTCCGTGTTCCATGTTGATGATTTTGTAATATACCGAACACCACGTGCGTCATCTGAATCAGATGCAGGGCTAAAGACATCAGATTGTGTCGGTAAATTTTACTGCCGCCGAATTCTGTCAATAATCATATTTCGGCATTGGGGGGATTTTTGTATGTTTGTTGTTGAATATTTATTTTTGAGGTATAACGGTTGTTCCGTTGGAATTTGTCATATTTTTTAAAAATATTTTATGATGACTTTTAGGAGATTTGGCTGGGTTATTTCTAAACATTAAAATATGTTTTGTTATATTAGGTAATGATATTGAACTTAATGTACCTTTAAAACTTGAATATATATCCGGTATGGAAATAATAACACGCCTGATTACCAACTAAGGGTTAACCTGAAAAATATTAGGTTGGGGAAAAAGAAATCCATTAGGCCGGCCGTCGAAAATGTCGATAAAATCGCCCAGGAGCTAAAACATCGCCCAGGAGCTAAAAATCGACCATAAAGCTGTTTTATACCATTTACACAATGCTGAATTAAAAAAATCTCGATTTTTGGGTGCCACACCCATTAACAAAAAAAATGGATGAATCGAATTTCCATATGCGAAGTCTTGGCCAAACGGAATGAGATATACCCATTTCTTAAACGGATGGTGACTGGAGATAATCCTGTGCGAAAACGGTGGTCAAACCAGGACTAACGGCCAGGAAGATTCTGCTATGCATTTGGTGGGCCTGGAAGAGGATTATTTATTATGAGTTGCTTTCCACACACATCTACAATAACTCGCCAAAACTTCGGGAGCTTGGTTGGGAAGTTTTAATGCATCCGCCATACAGTCCGGACTTGGCACCAAGCGATTATCGTATTTTTCTTTCAAATTTCTTTAATGATAAACCAGTAAGGAAAGTAGTAAAGTCGGACGGGGCCGCCTATATAATACCCTTCACCACTATGGATATATTAAACAGAACTATTAAAATGAAGTTGGATGAACTAAAATATGTGATATATATCTAAATGTTAATCGACTTAGATCAATCTCAGAGCATGTCATTCGTTTGTTACATTGGGACAAATGTTGGGCCGTTGGGCTATGTCTGTACTTCTAGAAAACGCAACTACGTTATTCTGTGATCAATTTTGTACGTTGTGCAAACACCATTTGCACCGTTTACATAAAATCTGACGAAAATATATGTGGAATCTATATCCAAATATGAACCGATTTCAACAAAACTTGTCACAGATTGGGTTATGCTAATTTCAGCACGTTTTGTTCCTAATTTCAGTACGTTTGGTTCCTTGGTGCGTCAATTACTTAAAATCAATTGATCTATGCAATATTAGAACTTTGGTAAATCATTTACATTATATCTGACGGAAATATATATATATATCTTAATCAGAACCGATTTTCACGAAACTCGGCACACATCAATCCAGGCTCAATTCAGTGCGCTATGCTAAATTTCGTGCAAATCTAAATATATTTAGGGTCTTTGGTGCACCATTAACATTAAATCGGGCTAATATATATATGGGAGCTATATCTAAATCTGACCCGATTATCACGAAACTTAGCACACATTATTTTAGACTTAATTCAGTACGCTATGCCAAATTTCGTGGAAATCGAAAGAAATGTAGGGACTTTGATGTACTATTTTTACTTAATCGGAGGAAACTATATATGGGAGCTATATCTAAATCTGAACCAATTTCCTCCAATTTCAATAGGGTTCGTTCTTGGGCCAAATAAGTGAACTGTGCCCAATCGGATCATAAATGCGACCTGTACTTTGTTCACAAAAATACATGGACGGACAGACGGACATGCGTAAATCGACTCAGAAAGTGATTATATGCATATTCTCAAAAGGAACTCTGGGTCTATATCGATTCCTTTTGCCTGTTACAAACATATGCACAAAGACATAATACCCTGTACCACAGTGTGGTGAAGGGTATAAAAATTGATATCTAGGGAATATTGTGAAAATCGACTACTAGGGTTTTTTTTGTAAATAGAGATCAGGACTTCTATGAGAGAGGCATTATTAAGTTACCTTTAAAATGGCAACAAATAATACAACAAAACGGTGTATATTTGGCCCAAATATGACAATCCGAAGCATGTTAAAGAAAGCCCTATAGTTCATATAAAAATATTTTTCCAATGTCCACTTATAAATTGTAGATTATAAATAGTTGTCGGATTTGTATTAAATATTTACTAAAAATATTTTTATTTATTATTATTAATGCAAGAGAACAATAGAATTTGTGCATTTCGGTTTCTTCGAATGTGAAGAATATTTTTTTTTGCAGAACATATTCGACATAGCAGTATTTATCTCATTTTTCGGTTATCTGGCTGTAAACATATTCGCAGACCTAACACAGTTTGTAATAAATGTGAAAATGTCCGATATTATCTATACATTTTCCAATATATATATTATTACATATATGGTTAAAATACAATTTTTGGAAAATTGAAATTTTATATGGTTTTGACTAAAGCATCACACATTATGTTATAATTATTCTATATTCGTTAAAAATAAAGAGAATGAAGATAACCTACTTCCTGTAGATATCTTGTGACACTAGTGGCCGAAAATACACATCTTTTGAAGGAAACCAAATCGATTTTTTATTTTGAATTTTTAGCTTTTCAGTTAGAAAGAATAAATAAACCAAGTGTGAAAGGCATCCGCAACTACAATCAATCAGTTTGCAATAAATTTCTCGCTTCTTCGCCGAAACCCATATTCGTGGAAATCTGCGTGGAAATCCTTCACCATCATTTCACCACGAACCGGTTATCACCGAAACATATATTTGTCTCAAAATCAAATCCCATGGAACATTTTGTGGCAATCGGTCTGAATTTCCTAGCCTCGAATCGATTCGGTTAGTCAAGACACATCAGAGGTTATATATATTAGGCGGAACGTCCCCAAATAGTTTCTCTACAAATTATTTGTGACATTAGTGTTAATCTAAACTAATATGGAACAAATAAAATACTTTGAAACTTTTTCTACCATTAGAGTCTATGATATGTTCCATTCCCTATTTCCTTAAAACAAAAAATTCAACATTCTTGAAACTACATATAAAACAAACAATATCGGAGACAACAAAATGGACATCAGTATTTAGCATTTAATTTATGAGGCAATTCGTTGTTTTCGTTTCTTGTTCTGTTTCATCGTGTCTATTCTATTTTTGGTTTGTTCCAATTTGATTTCCAACATATAAATCTAACCAAAATGATGCGGGGAATTCATGCATTTGACATTTTTGTTCATGGTTGCTATTTTGGTTCTAGTTTTTTTTTTCGGAAATATCAAATCAATGATCGTTTCATTCGTTGCACGAAATTAGGTGTTCACAAATTTATGACATCTTTAAAGTAGAATGAACATTTTGTTTTTTTTTTCTTTCTTTCAGAATATAGGTCACTAAGCCTTTTAGATATTGTCACTCGTGGATTGCATTTAATTCGTATACCCATTTATATGACCATTATGAGGTAATTTAGATTTCCCCAATACCTGTTGAACAAATCAACGATTCAATTTCGGAAATCTTCAGCGTAATTTGAATTGATGTCTAATGATTGGAAATATTTTCAGGTCACATTTAGAAATATGGGTTTAATTAATTCCAGAGAAATTATAATAATTTACAAATTGTATGGAAATGTTTATTTGGAAATTCTATACCATAATAAATTTTCATTAAATGTCTTGCGAAACAATGGAAGAAAAATAAATAAATTGTTGGGGATGGAATCAGTATTAGTGAGAACAACTATGTCGTATTATATATGGGCCTATATCGAAAACAGTTTTGCCGAGAGCCAATAACCAACCCAGAACAACGCAGAATACCAAAATACAGAATATGTGATTGAAAAATGTATTTAGCTCCTACAAAACACCCAGAATTGGAAGGTAACTACAGAACAGTGTCGATATATCCATATATAGGACCTATATGGAAAATTCTACGCAAAAAAGTTGTTTTTCTCTAAAATGCCAAAATACCAGCAATATCACTTTCAATACGAAACATCCAAGGAGTAGTATGGGAATTTATTGTAAATTATTTTATGAATGTAATTCGAAATTAATCTGATTTTCATTCTAAAGTTGAAAGAATGGCCAGATAATTTTGTTTTTAACAAACTCCTTCCCTGACACATTCCTTAGGTTTGGGACTTCAGCTTAAAAGTAAAAAAAATAATATCCATGACATTGCTTACCTTTCTGATGTTTGCGGTTATCCTCAAATGTATTGTAATTTTCATTTTTTGTTTGTGGCCATGAAAAACCTCCATTATATTCATCCATACCGACATAAGCTACCTTCATTGTTGCTGTTCGCAATGTGTTGTCGTCGTCCATGTTGCTGTGGGACATTAAAAGTCGTAAAGTGCTCAAATCAAAATCCTTTACTTGATTTTACACTTCGTCTAATTACCAGAGAATGACACAAGGATATATATTGTGGATTAGTCATTATGTTTACTTTATACGCATACAAACATACTCGTGTAATCGTTAATTAGCAAACCGTCAGATGTGTGGATTTATTGGGGTGCTGAATGCGTTGAAAGTGGGCTAGAAATAAATGCCTTCTTCAGTAAAATATTGGGAGGATATTCAGAATATTACTCACAGAGGTTCAACATTTATTGGTCAGTTGAAGAAAATGGATTGAAAGAACTGAAGTCAGACGGATCGAATATACGCCACATGGGATCTTACGATTCACAACATAATAAAATCATATTTATATGTGAGATTCGATCTGACGATTATATATGCATTATGCCCTCCACTCTATAAGGGGATATATAGGCCACGTTTTGGAGGTAAAACCCCATTATCGGCATTTTAAAGGGTTTATCCGCATTTATCAATAGAACAGCGTGTAATTTGGCATTAAGGTTGTTGCAGCATTTTTAGAGTAAATGTTTTGATATAACTTAGTTTTTAATATTAGGTTGTGGAAAAGAAATTCATTATTTTTATATGAACTATAGGACTTTATTTAATATGCTTTGGAATGGCCGATTTGGCCCAAAAATGCATCGTTTTGTTTTTAAAGGTAACTTTCATAGAAATCCTTTAGTCGATTTTCACAATCCTCCCTAGATACCAATTTTTTATCATTAACGAAATTTTGCAATGCAAGAAAAATATGATAATCGCTTGGTGCCAAATCCGGACTGTGTGGCAGATGCATTAACCAAGATCCAACCAAGATCCCGAAGTTTTTGGCGAGTCACTGTAGATGTGTGTGGCCTGTTGGCCAATTCTGGTCAATTGCTATCTTCAGACGGTCCAGTTTTTGACAGTAGATATCAGAATTTAGCGTTTGGCCATATGGAAGCAACTCATAAAAAATAATCACCTTCTTGTCCGTTGGTCCTGGCTTGGCCACCATTTGAGGTGCTTCACCGCTATTTGACCACGATCGTTTTCGCACAGGGCTATCGTATGTGATCCATTTCTCATCTTCAGTCATCATGAAATGGGTCTATCTCATTCATTTGGCCAAAGCTTAGCAGAAATGGAAAGGAAATTCGATCCATCCTATGTTTTTCTAGTAATTGGTGTGGCACCAAACATCGAGCTTCTTTTTGAATCCAGCTTGGTGTATAGTCGATTTTTAGCTCCTGGACTAACAACCTCCTGCTAACATGCTGGTCTACTTCGATCATATTTCCGATTTTATCGACATTTTCGACGACCGGCCTAATGTATTTCTTTTTCCCCCCATATTAAGATCCCATCCGATTATATATATTTTGAAGAACGGTGCTTTAGTCATTTTTCATTTGAATTTGAAATACAGTTTAAAAATCACTGTATAATTAAATATTTAGAAATACCTAGCATTCCCTTACATGAATATTACAAGTAATGACAGGTTTGACCTTACAAATTGAAATTCCTTTCAATCTATCACTCGAAGGGTAAAATCCTGCTGTGCAAGACACCTTTATTTTATTAACTTCTATAACATTAATAACGTTCGACGAACTACGGGGAACCAAAATCATAGGGGTGTCAAAAGCTCTCCACCATCCACAAATATTACTTTCCATTCGTCTCTCTGACGTTCTACATACTCAGCAGCTTTAATCATTATCCAATGCGGCCAATGTTAATATATCAGTCAGATAAAGGTCCGCCCCATGTTTTATATACTCAAAACCCTTGGCAGGATATATCAACTAGCTCGAATTTTATATTTAAAAATTCAAAATTTTACTTTTTGTTGACGCACTCTAATACACAAAACAACAACAACAACCGACTACAATTAATACAAAAACAAACATCTTATTTCATATTCATCATGTTAAATGGCAAAGAAACAATAACCATAACTCTATTTCATCCTCCTATCAGGAGGATGATCACACATTGTTGTTGTTGTGTGGAATAGTCCACGGACAAAGTTGTTGACCACCAACTGGTTTATTAAATCATAATGGCCAACAGCTAGAATAGCAATGAGACAACAAAAGGCCGGGTAACGTAGCCATCAAAATTTATAAAAATGGGAGAGGCAGCAACACAAAAAAATGAGTAATTAACTCATTCTCTTCACTTGAATGAAGTGAATTGTCCTATAAATGTTATTATAATGTAATGAAAAACACACACACCGACAGAGAATCACATGTCAAAGATGTGAAGGAACCCTGACGGACAGCTAACACGAATACAACCATGACAATGGTAAAAAGGACCATAACAAAAACAAACAAAAAAACTTACCACCACACAAAAGCAACAGCTAAAATGGCTAAATAAAAACAAATACGAGCAAGAAAAAGCCGGAATGAAATTTTTCCGAATGTAAGAATGTAATAATAATAAAATAGAAATAAAACAGACATTTATGCATAAAATAACAACACACTTATCCGGCGATATTCTCTCTACTCTACTCAACACTGCAAATCGCACAAGGTACATGGATATAAAGTCATCACTCTGTTACACCTAGCTGGGTATGTTTTATTTCCCCTTCATTTCATTGCAAACATTTTGGATACATGTATGGTACATATGTAGGTATGTTTGCACATATATTCACATGTTTAAGGACATTTTCACGAAATCTACCCCAACAAAAAATAAAATAAATGCCAGTATGAAAAATGTCACAAGAGACAAGACATAAATGTTCCATTTGTGTTTTTTTTTCGGTTATAACTTTTTTTACAACGGTTACTCTTGTTGTAATAAAACTGCAGGAACAACAAATGTAACAAACACTCAGTAAATGAAAGAAGAAGCAAAAAAGAAAATAAATTAATAAAAATTACAAACAGATTCATTGTCATTCCTTTTGCTTCGCAGCTCTCACCTGTTCATAGTCCCCCAGCAGACGAAGTTCATCACTTTTAGGCGGCCGTAATTCATGTGTAGGTTAGTTGGCACACTGGAATTAGAAATATTTTTCAAGATATATTTTCGTAGTTATGAACTGCATACTGAGGGTCACAAAACTTCCTGCCTGAAACAAAAAGCATTTATTCGATACAATATGCATAACCAAGTGTCTTCCAAATACCAAAATCTGCTAATTTGACTCAAATGTATTCAGTATGTCCAACATTTCGTATTCGTTAGCAATGTCTTTAGTGCATCATTCTAACTAAAAAATCCGATTTAGGCCGATTTATAAATCGACTGATTCGTCGAACCATATTCAATATTTAATTTTTTTTTTTCAAATATCCCGCCAAAGACACTGTAACATTTAGTTTTCGAGGGGTAAACACTAAGGAACAAAGTTACACAAGTAGGAAATGATTTTTAACAAAAGAAATATATAGAAGGGGAAGGAAACGCAGAAACAAAACAACGACACAAAAAAATAAAATATAAAGTAACAGAAATGTTGATATATAAACTCAGTTTTAGTACTAACAGCCTTCAGCAATGAACATAAAACGACCCAAACAAATGACAGACATTTTGTCTGTCACAAAGTTTGTCATGCCGTCTGTCATTTACCCGGCTCGCTTCTAAGTTGGTCTCCCACAAATCTGCAGGCTTACGACTACTCATATGTAGTCGCACACACTCACCCAACACCTTTGCAAACGTTAACAAACGCCCACCTACATACACATTCTATATGTGTTGCACACATAAGTATCTGTGTATGTGTGAGTATGTTTAACGTTCATTAAAACCCTGTGTACTTTACGCGAAACAATGACAACGAAAAGTATACGGAAATTCGCAAACATTTAGAAGAATAAAAGAAAATTACGTTAAGGTGCCTAGAAAAGGTGGAGCTGTCATAACAGGAAAAATATCAGCAATAACAACAATAAAGGTAAAAGCAACAATAACTACGTTGACGACAGCAGCAACAACATGCCAGAAAACATCGTTTACACAAAACACACACACACATAGTTAACCACAAACAGAAGGAGGATATAATAAACTGGTATTTTAAGTTCCGCTCAACTGAACGATTTGTACCCTTTACAAGAAAGCCGACTGAATATCTCGGGCCTATATTAAAAGCAGTTTTTGGAAGTTTAACGAAATATTATTACCTTGGCTGCTGTGGGAATCAACATGTATCTCCGAACCTTATCATATCGTAAATGTCTCCGATTAAGATCGTTTTTAAATCAGAAATTATCCTTTCCAAGTTCCATGCTATATAATGTCCGAATGTGAATTTTATCGGACCACCTCTTGTGGTATCTATGTCATATAGCTTCAACATTTTGAAAATGTGTGATACTTGAAAAAATGCAAAGATTGGATTGAGTTTGGTTCGTAGTTCTTTGCACATATTAATATTTTTAATACGTTCATTCCGAAGATGGAATCTATCGATCCACAGCTTCTAGTTTCTCCACCACAAAGGGTAGTAAATTTTATACGAAGCGAATTCAGTATCTGATTTGATCGATTCCACGTCGTTATATTAGGTTGGGGAAAAAGAAATCCTTTAGACCGGTCTTCGAAAATGCCGATAAAATCGGAGAAATTATCGAAGTTGACCGGCATGTTAGCTGTCGTAATATCGCCCAGGAGCTAAACATCGACCATAAAACTGTTTTAAACCATTTACACAAAGCTGGACTCAAAAATTCTCGATGTTTTGTGCCAGGGACTGGAAGGGATTATTTATTATGAGTTGCTTCCATCTGGCCAAACGCTAAATTCTGATCTCTACTGTCAACAACTGGACCGTTTGAATATAGCAATTGACCAGAAACGGCCAGAATTAACCCACCAGGACAACTTAAGGCCACAGAAACTTCGGGAGATTGGTTGAGAAGATTTAATGCATCCGCCATACAGTCCGGATGTGGCACCAAGCGACTATCATAATTTTCTTGAACTGCAAA